CTTAATTATTTAATTTTAAAACATTGAAAATATATCATAGATATATCATATATATTATTGAAGATGTCATATATACAGGGTGTTTGTGAACTCTCTCGAAAAAATTCACAGGATTATTCCTTGGGTTAATACATGAATATTTTACATTATAAACATGGGTCGCCGGAGCCAGGTTTTCCGTCTGTCTGTCTGTATGTGTTTTTTATAAATAACTTTATAACTCGAGTTTGAATCAAGGTACAAACTTTAAATTTGACACACTTGTGTATTTTAACGTGGTACACAAACATGCAAAATTTCATTTCGTTGACTATAGCCGTTTCAAAATGGCGGCCATCTAAAATCTTTGACCTCAAATTACATGAAAACCACCAGAGTTACACAAAAAACACAAGAATAACAAAATGTGGGAAATTTTATGCCAAATCAAATGACACCTAGATCTTAAAGATCGGACAAGAAACAGCTGAGTTAATAATTTTTTAAATAATTAATAATTTCTTTACTGGCTTTTAATTGTTATTGTTTATTCTTTAAAATCATCTGATCCTTTCTAAATTGTCACAACAATGTAAGACAGCTGGTTGGACGGATGATTTTGAGATGATGATCACATGATTATTTTGAGTTATTAATTTTTTTAATAATTAATAATTAATAATTTCTTTACTGGATTTTAATTGTTATTGTCTATTCTTTAAAATCATCTGATCCTTTCTAAATTGTTACAACAATGTAAGACAGCTGGTTTGCCCTAACATCAACATTTAGTTTTTTTACTAGATGGTAAATATATTAAGTGTCCTATTTTTACCTTAACTATTGAGATCTGTTTAAGGTTACGTAATGTACTCTGTAGCAGATGATTTTAAAGAATAAACAATAACAATTAAAAGCCAGTAAAAAAATTATTAATTATTTAAAAAAATTATATCTCGACTGTTTCTTGTCCGATCTTTTAGATCTAGGTGTCATTTGATTTGGCATAAAATTTCCCACATTTTGTTATTCTTGTGTTTTTTTTTGTAACTCTAGTGGTTTTCATGTAATTTGAGGTCAAAGATTTTAGATGGCCGCCATTTTGAAACGGCTATAGTCAACAAAATGAAATTTTGCATGTTTGTGTACCACGTTAAGTATTTCCCATCAAACCTTTTTGTTTTGAATATGTAGTCTTAATTTGATATGTTAAATTAACAATTTTTCCAAGTAGGTAAGATTTTTTATTTCCTGGGTATTTACGAGGTTATTTTTCTGATTTATGTATCAAATCAATTATAATAGTTTTTGATCATAAAGAGTGTTTGTGTTTTGTTTAATCAGACAACTTCCAAAGTGACCTTTAATTGGAACCTATTAATTGGAGCAATTTCGCTTATAAAATTATAAATTCCCAGTTATTTATTTCAATTACAATTTTGTACTAAAATATATTTCAGTTTTTGCGGTTGATTTCAACCATATAATTACAGGGTTTTACCTATTAAGTAACAGTTTTTAAACCTACCTTGCTGGTTGGGAATATTTCCTCAATTTTAAATTCCCGGGAATTTTACATCAGTAGGAAGATTATTGGTTCTGATAACCGCTATTATGGTACCAACAAAGAACAGGCCTATTTGTAGCAAGGACAAGAGCTATGCACCACTGCGTCGGGCATAGCCGCGTTGGCTGGAACATCTGTGACGCTCCACAATCATAGCAACATTGTCATCGTAACCTGCGATAATGCAATGACGTGGAAAGAGAACGGACGGAACATTGTAAATGAATGGGCGCTGTGCAATATACTGTTACTGGCAATTATTCAAAAATTTAAATCCCCTGTCCATTTCACGTACAATTCACATGTCTTTATCCAGTCATCAAAATGCACGTACTATTCATTATTTCCCAGTCAGCTGGAGACCCTGAGTGAAAATAAGTTAATTTCATTTACATTTCAAACTATAATGCTTGCTACAATATAATATATTATTTAAAGCCTCTGAGATCTTCATTTGACTTGGTTTTAGATAAATCTCTTCAAAACGGGAGCAACGAAATTTTCCTGCCAACAAAACTAGTATCCCCAGAACCTTTTAAACCTATACTTTTGAAATTACCTGGTTTCCGATTCTTGAATTTCAATCACAAATACACTCGAAAATCACAAAATTGAGACGGCTCTTTATACATAACCAACATATCTTTACATTTTTAATATATCATACAAAAAGGTCAACTTATGTGAAATGAGTACTATTTGGCTAGGTACAGTACAGATGGTATCGGCCGGCACTAACAATCGATTTTGTTTAGAAACCAATACCAATTTTCAAAATAGCGCCGGATTAACTAGTGTGTTGTATATAGTTGATCTATACAATTTAGTTCCTCTTAAAATCATATACTGTACTTACATCGAAACCTTTCAAAATTGTAAACCTACAAGTTCAGTTATGAATAGTCAGCACTAGCTATGTGTTGAAGCAGAATCTCATATTATGTATATTCTGACATTACCTCGTGCCAGTTGCACCTCGCTCCCAAGCAATTTGTCTGGACCTCCGTCTATCTGGTACTGGCCCAGGCCTTAAACCATTGGCCGCTTCCCAGGTGGATGGAAGGTCAGGAGACAGGTTCTGTCATTCAAGGCATAGTGCAAGGTAGTAAAAATGTAATGAAAACAGGTTTGGTTCCAAAAATGAGGGAAATGTTCGGCATACCTTATTTATTTTTTCTGGGGAGATTTGAATTATTTAAAGTTTTCTGGAGGGCTGGAATGTTGGATTGTATCTTGGTGATGGGAGGAATAATAACGATTTTATCGAGATCGCGGAGAATGATTTCGAAGTTACCTTGACTGCAGGACATTATTAAGATGTTACCGATATCGCGGTAAATGACTACAATGTAACCGTGATCATGGAAGACGGTTACAATGTTACCGCGATCGTTAAGGAATACTCGCGGATTTTAGCGAAACCGTGGGAGATGTTCTCGGATGTTGCTTTGCCACGGGAGATGTTTTACTTTAGGAGATCGCATCGATCGCGGAAGATGATTGCTATGTTGCTTTGATTCCTGCTTAAACAGTTTTAAAATAAAGTAATTCTAGATCTCACTATTCCTTGTGTACCGTGTTCAGTTTATGACTTATGATACAATAAACACAACTGTTATAAAAAACTTATTCAATTTTATGCTTACATTAATTGTTAATTTAAAACTGCGATGCTATCACTTGTTAAAACTGCAAGATATAAGATGAAAAATCTGAAGAATATTGACATTAGGTACACAAGTGAATAATTCATAGCTTAGATAAATTCATGACATAAAGTTTGCAATAACAGCTGGTTTTTATATTGTATGCACACTGTAAGAATCACGTTGGCATTGTTATTTATTGCTAATGCCACTAATTGACAGATTTATTATGGAATTGATACAGTTGTGATTGATCTTATCATGCTTAGTTTAACTCTTCTACTAAGTAAAATGCCATGGAGCATTGCTGCCAATATGCTGCTACCTATTGTTCTCTTTCTGAACCACTTATAGTTTTATGGTAATACAGAACATAAATGTCTGGTGTAACTGACAACTGCTAGGATTGAAATCTAAATGTAGATCAGTCTCTTGAAATGGCTTGCGACGGACTTGTGGTGAACAGTTAGTTGTGGCTTTAATGTGAGTTTGTAATAGCTTATTGTTTGTCATAGGCCTTATCATGGCATACTTGGTCTAACTTACAGTCATAGTAAGAAAAGAAAATAAACTAGACTATAGTTGTAATTATTAACTCCAATAGATTCACTATTGAAACTATTCAAATACTTGACAAATTTTAGTTTCACCACAAAATACCTTTGTACAGTTTGTTCTTTATCTTTATTAATTGTAACCAAGTTCTTGAAGTTATTTAATTAATTTTAATGATGTTTCTCACATTATATCCTAATTAGTGACAATTGTTCTATTCAATGGCTGTACAATTTTTAAAATATCAAAATTTTCATTGTTAATATTTTTATTAGTCCTCCATTATTAATATCTTTATTAGGTAGGGGTGGGCGAAGTAGCAAAACGCTTTTGATTCAAAGCAACGATTCAATTAAAAATTTGAGAATTAAGGTTTATGATTTGTATTTGGCATTTAAAATCCCTGGATTAAAATGTAACTACATCGGTTGGTTACTGCAATGAACCAAAACAAATAAACAATATTGAACCCAAAATAAATAGTCTATGTACGATTTTGCACTTTCCTGAACACTACTAACAATGTACGATTTGAAACATTTATTTTCTTTTTGTCTGATAATTATTGGTCAATTCAATTGTTGCACTTGATTCACTGTTTAATTTATTTTATGTTATTTGTTTTTAAAAAATTTGTAAGTTTTGTTTAGTAACCGCTTATCCTACAGAAAATAACAAAACAAGTTTGCTAGTTTTTTTACTATTTTTTATATTTTGTGTGTCTTGTATTCATCTTAATTTTTATAATTTTAAAATGTGTTTGTATTCTTCTAGTATTGGAGTTAATGCAGGTTCTATGCTTTTTCAATGTAATAGAAAGTTCAAAAAAATTAGTTTCTTTTTTGAGCAACAAGTTTTGACCTGGAATTGTTCTGGAATTTTACTGTCATTGGACACTGAATAACCTAGCCCTTTTTGTGTGCATTTTTACACCTTGGCATTTTTAAAACTTTTGTAGGGGAACGGTCTAAACCCTGATCTTGACCAGCATCATTAATGGATAGCCCAATGACAAATGGCATCTGGGTCTGGAAACAATTTTGTTTGTAATCTAACCAGTAACTGCCGTATTTGAGAGTGAGCACTATGACAACTTGGCTACCTAGACAAATGTGACGATTTTGATGGATCTACCCTGCTGCTAATGATGAACTATGAGACACCAGCATTCGACAATCACCATGTCACATATTTTACAGACGTATATAAATATAATTGTTATGAGCTGATTTATATAAGTGTTTGTTGTCTAGGGAACATAAGGAACTTGGCCATGGAGAAGGTAGCCAGCACAGTGCTGTTCCCGTGCAAGTATTCCACTTCCGGATGCTCCATGTCGTTGCTTCATACTCAGAAAGCAGAGCATGAAGAGATCTGCGAGTACCGTCCGTACTCCTGTCCCTGTCCCGGTGCCAGCTGTAAGTGGCAAGGAGCTTTAGAGCAAGTCATGCCTCACCTGATGATGTCTCACAAGTCCATCACTACACTCCAAGGCAAGTCACAATCACAATATACTGCAGGAAATAAAGGGGGCAAGGCTCTTTTGAAAAATGGGATTTTTGGGTAGGTAGTCAATGGTTGGAATTTAAAAGCTATATCGGTTCATAAAAATCTGTAACAGATTTGATCCGTAATTGATTTTACATCATTTTAATTAATGCCATCTTAAAATCTACAACTATATATACCTAATATTTTTCTTGTAATAATCGATCATTGTTTTCTGAACTTAATCTTAACAGCAGTTGCTGCAACAATGACTTAGGCCAATACCGACCAACTACCCGCATGATTACAGCGGAATATTCCTGTTGCGTAGCTAGCTAATTTTCTAATTGATTTCAACTTTTTCTTATGATTTCTAGGTAATGGAAAGCAGTTGTAAGGGATTTTACTGTACTCTCACTGTTTTACGTTATTATCTTGATATTTAAAATGCTCCTTACTTTTTAAAGATGCTATGTATTATTATTATGTATGTAGCCAAAATTATGATTGTATTAGTAGCCAAAATGATTACTTATCAATGATAACTTACTCGTCCCGCAAACTGTTTTATATATATTTAGGTGAAATTATATCTTTGTTCCAAAATTATGCCTATTAATTATTAGTCCAGTCAATGAATCAATTAACTCCCTAGGAATTTGTAAAAACTGATTGTTGTCTTTTGTATTTTACTATTTCAGTAAGATTATTGAAATCTTCTATAATTCAACTTAAGAGTAGAATAGCGTTTGTCAGATTTTTCCTTATTGAAATTGCATCCTTGGGTATCCTTGGGTAAGGTACACTTGGTTGAGTTTTTGATCTCCAATGCTAAATCCAGCATGTTCATATCCAATATCAGCATGTTCATTTCACAGTATGTTGTCCCCTGATATACTGAGTTTAGTTTAATACAATTTGGGCAAATTCTTCCAGACATAAATAATCAAATATTTTTCTTATCCTTAGGAGAAGATATAGTTTTCCTCGCTACAGACATAAACTTGCCTGGGGCCGTAGACTGGGTAATGATGCAGTCGTGCTTCGGTCACAACTTTATGTTAGTTCTTGAAAAGCAAGAGAAGTATGATGGCCATCAGCAATTCTTCGCCATCGTGCAGCTCATCGGCTCACGCAAGCAAGCAGAAAACTTTGCGTATAGGTGAGTTTAAACGATTCCAAATTAACCATTATATATAGATTACTTAGCTTTTCGTCGTTGTCAACCTATTTTGGGTTTATGTTATAAGATAACTAGTTTCATTGCATTAGAGCTCCAATTTAAAATCTCCAAAGATCATTAAATTGTATTACATATTGCATAACATCGCGAGAAACATTTAAAATATTAACTTAACGTTAAAACTAAAATTGGTAGTATTATTGAGTGGAAAAACAAATCAATTTCAGGCACCAAACCGAGTGTACGGATTCTTTGCTCCCAATTCACCCTATGTTCTAGACTATAAAAAAAAATCAAAAATCATTTATTCCAAACAAAAAATATCTTACAAAAATTATAATATACATATAAAGGATGGTCCCCACATACGCAAAGCCTGTGCGTGGGGAACGAGTTGTATCAGTCCATTTACTACAGAATCTTTGATGTCCATTCAACTTATAATCAATTTAAAATACTTTATACTACTCTACATGCCAATACATAATTAAAAAGGAAAAACACTTTCACCAGGGGGCTACAGCAGATAACTTAACTTAAAACCTCATGATAAAAAATTAAAAGTTAAAAAGGATAAATAAGGTAAAAATAAAAATATATAAGAAAGGATTTAATAATACTATTAAAATACAAAAGTCAATGGGACTTGGAACCATTCATACTATGACCGTTCACATTTCCTGACAATATGGAAAAAGGTTTTCTGTCACTAAATCAGTACTCATAAGCTTATCATATGGTTTGATAAGTTTCCATTGTTATTGTTTACCAAAATCAGCTGTTTTAAATTGAATCTTTGTCTAACCCCACTGGATATAGCAATAATCTGGAATAAAATTATATCAGAATAAATGCCTGATAATATTAAATCAGGCATTCTATGAAAACGTCCATCCTTCATGTTTCCCCTCAAAAGTTGATAAGAGTGATTATGTAATTTATTCCCAATTGTTATAACATTAAAAAATATTGAAAATTCATCTTTTACCAAGAAAGAAGCTTAATAAAACTGACTTTAAAAAAAAACAAATTTTCTAAAATATTTTATGATGATCGGTGTAAAGTGTTTGTGTTGAGAGACAGGATAGGTGGGATATGATTCAGCTAATTAATTTTACTGTGAACTTTGATATGCAGAGTCAATGAACCAATGCCTTTTGCCAACTGACAAAATGTGTATATGATTCAATTAAATTTGTTTATTGACGGCATAAACCAGTTTACAATATAGACTTAAATTAGTACAAGCATTAAGATAACATGATATACATTTGACAGCAAGAATGTGCAGTACAATATAAACAAACCACTGTGACAATTAATTATTGCAGTATTTACAATCTAGAAATACAAATCTGAGCAACATAGGAAGAATGATATGAAGTGTGACAAGAAAAACAAAAAAAGATAGGAACAAAACTGCCTAAAGTAATGAGTCAATCTGTTATTTGACATAACAATGATATAAAACAGAAAACAGTTTTCATTAATAAGACGAAACAATGTGACGAGCAATGTGACAATAAACAGTGGTGGCATATAAAATATTGAAGTTGTCATAAATATGAAAGTTATAACAATTAAGAGAAACATATGCAATGTGACTAGTAATGATAACAATAAAACAGTGGTGACATCTAAAATCTGAAAGTTATAACAAATGTGAAAAAATAATCTTTGGAGAGCAATAATGATATATGTAAATATTTGTAGGCTTACTTTATTGTGAAATAGGTAAATTTCACCAAATGTGCTGCTTTACCATATATTTTGGATTGTTGCCTTATATTTAACACATAGAATATCCCTGAAAATTTTTTGGTCCCCCAATTGTTGTTGAATTGTTGTGAGGGGGGGGGGTCGATGTCTGAGGTGTTAGGTGTGGGGAGGGGGGGGCTTGGTCAGACGAGGCAATGTGCCACTAAGTGGGATGTACCAGTCTAGCTGTCACTTCCAACTATAATTAATTGGCTGAATCTGTTTCACTCATGGATCACGGATATATATCATTCTCCCTTGTCACTTTTAATCTACAGTTGTATCTCCATTTCCTCACTTATCCATCCTACACTTGTGACTGCAACACTCACTCCCAACTTAATGATTACATTTAGTTTGAAAAACACTACCTCTTCTATAACAAAATACTGCACAATATTACTGTTGGAAGTAGGAAACTGGGTAACACACACAAAGTTGAATTTTAACCACATTGATTATTATGATTAATGTGTTTATTAATTTACACACATATTTTAATGAAGTAATTGATACAATTAATCAATAGCATCACACTTGAAACATTTCTTAAAGTTAGTGATTGTTTTTCTTGTTATTTTCTTGGGTGCTTAATAAAAAATCAAGACCTGCGAGGCAACAATTCTTTTGTATCACGACAATAAGGATGGGAATGGATGGAAGCCTCTAAATTCCTAGAAAAGGGCAGTTAAAATGATTTTCCCCTTGTTTGAAATTGATCTAGGTTAAACAATCATCCCTGGTTATGTGTGTTGTATTGTAGTCTACACAATGTGTTTTTGCTCCACAGACTGGAGCTCAACGGTCACAGGCGGAGGTTGACTTGGGAAGCGACTCCGCGCAGCATCCACGAGGGAGTGTCGTCCGCAATCCTCAATTCTGACTGCCTCGTGTTTGATACAACTATTGCCCAGCTGTTTGCTGACACAGGGAATCTCGGTATTAACGTCACAATCTCCATGGTGTAAAGTAAACCATAGACAATACACATCTCATTTTCAGTTTATCATATGTTATCGTTCACTTTGTTTAGTTATATTTTGAGAGTTATTACCCTGTGATAGAAGGCTTAGTCACCGCCTTCCCTTAAATATTTAAGCCAAATTGTTAATGTCCAGTTCTACGAGCTTCTTAATAGTTTGATAATTTATAAACATACCGAAGCTAGAACAGAAAGAAACATGTTGGTAAGTATGTATGAGGTGGCAGCATATTTTGACTACATTTTTTGTTATTAATGAAGAGTATATTACATTTACTATGTAAAAGGTTGTCTGGTTATTTCGGTTTTGTCACTAAGGGTAAAGGAAAGTGTTTTTTCTCGTGTGTTCATAAAGCGGTGCACACACCGGAGCGGTGCGATATTCACACGGTGATTTAGTATAATGGAAGTAAATGCGAGAGACCACACCGGAGCGGTGGGAGCGGTAGTGGTATACCGCCCGAACCACTGCACCGCTGAGATGCAGCATGTTCATTTCACACCCAGCGGTGACAGTGCGACGAGTCATTTTGCGTCCATTACTCCAAGCAAACACATGGCAATAATGTTGGTCCTCAGTCCTCAGTTCAAGCATCAATGTATGGTATTCGCCATGTTTAAATCACCTTTTGTTGATGTCATGTACCCACTATGTATGCCCCATGTTATCTTTGCAATCGTCATCTTCAGCTACATCGAACACTAGCAGCAGTTCTTCCTCGTCGTCTGTCATATTTCTAACTAACAACACACCGCACTTGTTGATTTCATATTCATAAATGACGACAAAAAATTGCTGTAGACTGCTGTCACCGCAGCGGTGCGGAATCGCTTCGGTGTGAACGCCCCAGCGATTATTCCGCGGCAGTGATGGTGGATGGGGGAGATGAAAAAACTCACCAATACCGCCACCGTTCCGGTGTGTGCAGTGTTATTAAATCTTTGTATCTGATTGTTTGTTACATGTGGTCAGCCAAGTAGAGGTACAGACGTTCCCCCATAGCAGCAAATGTTTAACTGCCACAAAACTAAAGGGTGAATATGTAACAAATACATTTTTTTAAGTGATTTGAATGTTACCTTTTACAAATTACGTAAATAAAAAACACTCGATCATGTAAAGTGACAGTAGTACTTGGCCAAGCCGAGATGAATTGTATGATTATGTAAACTTAAACGTGTATAATTTGTTTATATGTAAAGTATCATGGTAAAGCCATAATTTTAACAAATATTTAATTTTTTTAGATGTAGTATTTAAATATTCACAATCATTTGTGTGCAGCGCAGCTGGGAAGGTGGAGGCTGCGCCTAGTGTATATTTTAGTTTGATAATATCTCATCACTTTTTAATGTCAGGGTTTTCATGAAATGATTCATAAATTTACTATCAAGAATGAACTGATGCTCTTGGTATAAGTGAGGCCTTTAATTTATCATTAAATTTCAATAAATGTATTTTTGTAGTTATTAATGAAGTTGTCTTGTAATCTATAGGCAAATGGTCATATGTACATCTTGAATTTGGATACTATTCCAGTATGGCACATTACTACAAGAAATTACTATAATGCCAGGAATGTGACTCTTAAAAAAATATCTTTAAATTATTCTCATCTTAATCTATTTAGAAAAAGTAATTGACAAACATTTTAAAACTGAATAAATTTGAAAGCTCCTCCCTTGATTGATTCTTTTGTTTATAACTGCTGACAAATTATGTACCCAAAGAGATGTCCATGTGTACGTGTATATCATAAATTAGGGATGGGCATATAGTAAATATGTATATTACACATGTCTGGTCTAAATAATGTCAGTCTAAATTTTCCATGTTTGCCTATGGACTTAAATTTCTGCTAAGCACTTAAATCTTACTATACTTTACTAAAGTATTTCTAGTAGACACATAATAACGTTATCGTTTTAAACTTATCATTTTAATAAATTGTGACTCGCTTTTATGCCAGTGTAATAAACCACTGGCATAATCTTGATTTTTTTCTGACTATGCTAGAAAATTCTACTCTGTATACCAATAGTGATATTTGTAGATTTAAATACATAAAGGTGCATTAATATTAATATTCCAGTTGTACTAGTTAGTATACAACTTTGAACATACTACTGTGTAATTCCATTCATAATTATTGTGATTAGACTGCTGGGAGTATCAGTTCTTTATTTTTATGATTCACAAACCAGTTTTTTTGAGAACCCCAACATATTAACAGTTGATATGTTATTTTATAAACATGAAAAATAATAAAAGATTTATTTATAAGTTACTAGTTACTTGTATTATTTATGAGTTGATTTTTTAAATTAATATATTTTGTGGACCTTAATCACTGCTGAGTTTTGTCCCATGGATATCTCTGACTTTCTGGGTAATCGAGTGGTTATAGTGATTGACTAACAATCAAAAGGCTGCTGGTTTGATGCTGAGAAACGTCAGTAGGTTTTTGATGATTCGAAACTGGACACAACCATTCCTGATCATTGGGCTTTAGATAAATAATCCTTGCTAATGAAACAACTGATCTTGGTCACACTAGTACCGTACTGACTACAGAGATCATCTCACACCATTCTACACTCATCCTTCACTCAGATTGTGTTGTCCCCATCTTAGTGGTTGATAACTGATGATTGACCATTTAGAAATAGATAGATTTATTCCAAATTCCCTTCACAAATAAAAATTAAAATAAATATTGTTTAGAGTAAGTTTCAAAGCTTTTTTCCAAATAAAAAATTGTGGTTTCTCACTATCTGTTTACCAAAGAGTTTTGAGCTCATTAACTTACAACATTTTATCCAAACAATGTGACTACGCATTAGACTACAATTTTAATGAATTCATTCAACTGAAGACTTGATTGAGTAATGAATGAAAATATGAATATCTCTTTTGGTTTTGTAATGTTTATTCTACACTCAACAACAGTTTATGGATTAAGTTAAGTCCAAATCGTTGAACGACAAATAAACATTGCATCAGCTGATTGATTTAATAGTGTTGCCAACTTGTTTTCAAGCGTACACGTATTACGTTCATAATGCAAGCACACTATTATGTGTTGATTGGTTGAAATACTGGAGTGTGGGAAAGTAAAATGAGTGTATGAAAGTAAGTAAATGCAGGAATCAGCTACTTTGTGTGTTATAATCAGTGCAAGGAAACCCATTTTGTCAGGTAACTGTAGGAAAAATTGATATCTGTTGTAGCATCGAAAATTGCTGTATTTTACCATGTATATTTATTAAAGCACATTACAAATACAGAAAAAAGGAAACACTATCGGATCAATACCGTTGAGCATAAGCTTAATATACTACAAAATTAAATACCTATTAGAGCCTATGCACCAATGACTTTAGATACTGCTAATAGACATCCCATTTATATGAAACACATGTACCATTGACTTTGGAAACTGCAAGTAGAAATCACATTTACGTAAACCTGATGTACCAATGACTTTGGATACTGCAAGTATACATCCCTTTTACCTGAACCAAATGTACCATTGACTTTAAAAAATGAAAGTAGAAATACGATGTTTACATTCGACAATAGTAGCATTGACTTTGGATACGGTAAGTTTCATTGCAAAGTATCAAAGTATCATCCCATTTATGTGAACCAGATTTAGCATTGTCTTTGAATACTGCTTGTAAACATTCCATTCATGTGAACCCGAGCCCATTGGGAACAAACATTTCGTTGTTACATTTTCCAAAATTATTGAATTGATATTCTTGCTCCGCTCAATATTGCAAGCAGACAACTGCTTTGTACACCTAGTAAAGGTTGTCACCTGGAAACTTTGTTGTTTATAAGGTTTGTAAACACAGCTCTGTAGCAACATACCCAAGCTTATTACTAAATGCTCAATGCACATTCTTTAGTTGTCCATAATACAATGCCAAAGTAAGAAAGTGATTAAGGCACCAGTCAATCATTTGTTACTAAATGATTTCTTTATCATTTAGGTTTGATTACAATTGTTCAACTATGGTATAGATATACCACAAAAGTTTGATCACTATATTTTTGTTGCCTTCATTCATAACCGCAACTTAGGTGTGCTACATATTTTGTCACAAAATTTTTTTTTATAATTGAGTTTTGAGTTATAATTTATTGATTCATATGTATGATGTAGTCAATACCTCTGTTATTGGACATACAAGCTAAATGTTTATATGTAAATAAAATGTCCTAATAAAGCTGGTTATGAAAATGCTTCTTTTTCTTTCTACACACAAATTCCACCCAATATTATGAATTTATTACTTAAGTCTTCCTTCTGACCTGTTGAGTGCTTTATTATTTGGTTTAGACTTTTATCAATTTAAATAAAATCTATCAAATTCTTTATTGGTAGCTGGGCCAAAAGTAATTTAAACTTGAGTCTTTTTTCGTTACCTAATCAGTGTGCAATGTGATCGGTTTTTTCGAAATGCTAATTAAACTAAGCCACAGCAGAAAATTGTTGTTTGCTTATAATTTATTTTAATACGTTATTTTTCCTGTAAGTTATCAAATTTAGCAACGGAAATATTAAAAAACTTTCTGACTTTTCTTTAGTTGAGATGAGGATTTATTTTATATGCCAGAATGAATTGATTTCTTTTAATTATTATTCTATAAATAATCACTATTTGTATTTTTTTTTTTATTGAAGTTTTGGTTTAAGGAAATATTTTCCATCACAATAAGTAAAAAAATAAACAAGTTTTCACATTATTTTTGAATCTGGAATCTGATTTCATCCTCGGGTGAGAAAGTACCTAAAACATCACAAGATTGCCAAGGAAACCGACCTAAAGCAGGAAAACACATAGAATAACCACAAAGAAAACGTTATAGTAGTCAGAACTATAATGTCACGCAAAAACCAAAATGAAGCCTAATCTTATTACAGTATGTTTTAGGTACTTTTTTGATCTGAGGATGGGATCCGATTCCAGATCCCAAAATGTCGTGAAAAATTGTTTTTAGCGAATTACCCATATAGGGAATAAGCTATTCGTAGGTCTCATGGTAAGACCTAGACCCGGGAACGATTTACTGTTTCGTTTTGAGGTCCCCAGAGGCCAAAACACCATCCGTCCAAATGCATATATATATGTTACCGAAATAGCTCAAGCAAAAATGATCCAATTTTGTTGAAATTTGGTACAAACCTGTAAATCTATGTTTATTTAAACAAGTACGCAAACCAGCATAATCGGACTATGGGAACTGGGGTTTCTGATTTCTGACCCTTAAAACACAAAATTTTACAATTTCTCTCCAAACCATTTTATTGAGCTTAAAAAAGGAAATAATTTTATATATTGAAGTGTTGTTGTATAAAGAGATAATTTTAAAAATTGTAAATTTAAAATTCCCATGTTATTCTTATGGATAATAATTAAACTGTTGTAGTTTGGTTGTTTGTTTGCTACAACTAAGCCTAAATCTACCAGTACACTATCACCGAACATTTGCCTGAATGTTCAGGTCAGATTGCGACCACGAATGTGCAGCCCGAACTATCCATGTACACTATCGGCTGGCTAACTTCGGCCGAACTGTGCTGAACCCAATATTGGGTATTTGCGGCAAAACATTGCACCAAACTTTTTACAGCATGGACGCTAACGTCGAAGACTATTCTAGAAAATTCTAGAGGGAATTCTATAGTTGCCGTTTGGTGTTAGACACCACTTGAATGTATCCTATGTTTCTTACTTCTCTGTGGCTTAGTAATTTAAAATTAATGCTTCCTTTTTCCATTAAAATGTTGGTTTTCTTAAGCGATACTTTATATATGTATATACAATTAAATTATCCCACGGCCAAAGAACTATGGTGTAGTTCCAAAATAACAGTGTTTACACATTAGAACACTCCATACTTTGTACAATTTATCTATATGAGCTAGTAGTAAATAATTAAATAACAAAAACTAAAAGTAATTCTAACTACACAACCACTGCAGTAAATACTGTAGAAAGAGAGCGTCCGTGACTACGAATGACAGCGAGCGTGTACTGGCTATGTTTGTGCCTGTCTGCGCTCGGCATTCATCCTAGTTTGTCTCGTTTGATTCGCAATGGGAGACTGCCAAAAAAGCGAGCGCACCCGAACACGAATGTTGGCGATACGAAATACCTCGAATGTACACGAGCACACCGAGTACACTATCGCGCTCGTCTTGGTTTGCCTACTTTCGGCGATAGTGTACTGCAGGCATAACATGCTGTTACTATCTAATAAAAAGTTGTGTTGGGCAAGGAATTTGGAGAAATGATGAGCCAGAGAAAATATTTCTTGCACCATTTTCTTTCAAAAATCTAAAATTGTTCGTGAGATGATTTGGAATTTTAAGATTGGTAGACAAATGAGTTGTATTAATAATGTATATTTTTCTAACGTCGAACAATTTTAATAAAGAAGAATTTATATAATACAGTGTGACATCGACATGATCACCTCCTTAAAGATCATACAAAATCGAATACAGTAATTTTTTTTCAAGTTCCTTTTTTTTACAAATCAACACAGCACTAGTTGTATTTACTATACAGTTTATCTTTCACCTTAAAAATAAAATCAAGCTTAATCCTCACAAGAGTCACAAGTTTATGTCTTCTTATATCCATTTTAAATCATAGATGATAAAAGAATATTGAGTGTAGCTAGTTATAGAAATTAAAGTTACAGTAGACTCCCTCTTATCCGGACACCTTTTAACCGGACATCGGTTTAACTGGACTACACTCGGCGGAAATGACATCTCTTTAACCAGACAATTTTTATCAGCCCATCGGTTTAACCGGACTAGATCGGCAGGGAGTGGGTGGTATTGAAACGACTGTTCTCGTGGGAAAGATTTGAGACCAGCGATCTTGTGTCTAAATACAATGCTCTCCTAAATTTAAGTCAAATATTTGGGTTACATAACAAGTTTTTGGGGACGTTGGTTTAACGGGAAAATCCGTTATCCGGACTGGCCTCGGTCCCGAGGAGTCCGGATAAGAGGGAGTCTACTGTATTAGATTATGCTTGCAAATATTTTTTGTAGAAGCTATGGCTTGATTTTGACTTTCCATTTAGTACTTAATCAAATTTCTACCGAGCCTTGAAATACACACAGTTGTTATTATTCTGGTGGTTTTATTTTATTTATTTTTATTTTATTTTTTTTAGCAAATTTCCTATATAGAGAATAAGCTATTACAGTAGGTCTTGGGGTAAAACCTGGGACCAATTTATTTTTCGTTTTGAGATCCCCAGAGGCCAAAAACACCCTCCGTTTGAATTCATGGGTGTCCCATAATAGTCCACCCCTGGTTATTTTTGAAACGGCTCCATATATTCAAACGAGCTTCGATACACGTTACTAGGGTAATGTAAAGTACTTTTTGGGGGTATTTTGAAATTCACCCCCCACCCCATAGCACTATTAGAGCTATGGAATTGTAAAATAAATAAGAATATTTCCAGTTATGTTCTTTCCTTTATTCATCTTCCAAGATTAACAATCTGGGTAGTATTTTATTTTTTTAGACATAATTAGTTTTATTCGAGACCTAGACGTGTACATTAACAACAGCAAACACTTTGAATACCATTTTAATAAAACAATAAAATACACTAATTTCGCTACAGCTCTTTAACCAATAGATACCAAAAAACTTTAAATAAAAAAATTGTAGCCAACTTTAAGGGCTACAATGTGGTTTGTAATGAAACCCATGTTGCCATTTTAAATTTTTGAGATAACAGCTTTTGAAACTTCAAATAAGTTTGAAAATGTGTAACATAAGTAAAAAGTTGGGAAAAGGGTTGAAACCAGAGTTTTTTTAAAGTTCATTTAGCAATTTAAGTGTTATCAAAATTTGAACCTCCATGAAATTCCACCTCTTTTGACAAGTAGTTCAAAGATCTATTTTTGTACGTTTTTGAACACGTAAATAGGGATGAAAATAATTTAAAAAAATTTCCAATAAAATACTCAGGACTCAAAGACCTTTTAAATTATTTTATAACACAACCCCCCTTTACATTTGAATATTTCCCAAAAATCACCCCCTCCCCCACCCCTAAAATCTGCCCCATGGGGTGCGTTTTGGGCTTTAAAAATAATTTAGCTGAATTCCTTGGGATCAAAATATGGGATTCCAGTTGCAATTAGGTTTCTATTTGCTTTAATATCGGAGCTCTAGAAGCCGGTGGTCTCTGGGACACCCTGTATATTCAAATATATCTAAAGTAAAGTATAAATGTACTACATTTATACATTTGATGTAGCAAATATTAATATAGTATATTAATGAATACATTTTGTAATAAAATTACCTACTTATTTATAACCAACCCGTTTTCTAATAACTGTTAATTTACTGTTATTTCAATTATACTACATCTTAAGAGGTACCTTAATTAAAATTGAAATATTTGTCTAAAGTAGAGCAGACAATACGAGTTACTATGCAGTGAAGTAGTTGATTAAATAATACATTTTGTACCTACCTTACCTATTTCTTAACCCAACATTTTTTGTCGTGCCGATTCCTTATCAGAATAAAATGTTAACATATTTTGTCAAGACAGAGTGATGTGAGGTTGGTTGGTGCTGGTGGGGAGGGATGTTAGTGTTGTGGGGTGGGGGATATTGGTAGGGGCGGGCTGCTCGCTGCTGCTGCACTCTCAGTCAGTGATCATGTGGCGCGCAGTGTTAACGGTCGTGTGCGCAGTGCTCGCAGTAGCGGCTGCGTACTACCGCTCTCCCAACCAGTACACCTGCGTAGACATCCCCCGCAACCTGTCACTCTGTCACGGCATTGGCTACGACAAGATGAGGCTTCCGAACCTCCTGGACCACGACTCAGTCTCGGAGGTGACCCAGCAGTCCGTGTCCTGGGTGCCTCTACAGAATGTCCACTGCCACCCCGACACCCAGCTGTTCCTGTGTTCTCTGTTCAGCCCAGTTTGTCTGGACCACCCCATCTACCCGTGCCGCTCCCTGTGTGAGAAGGTCCGTAGGGGATGTGAGGGTCGCATGCGGACCTACGGGTTCCCCTGGCCCGAGATGTTCCATTGTGATAAGTTCCCTGTGGATAACGACATGTGCATCGCGTCCAGAACCTCTTCGGACCCGCAGCCAGGTAAAATTCGCTAAACGCATGCAGTAAACTCAGTTAATAGTACCTTATTTGAAAATGTGTTTTTCTGTCATTGGTAGTTTCATGCTATTTAAGAAATTATCGCAGACATTTATATCACGATCAGTAAAAACCCATTTTTTTTAACAACGGGATTTCGAAACTGATACCGGTTGTAGGTGAAAAAGTTCCTAGTAGTTTGGCGGTTACGTATTAAAGAAATTTATCTCGCATTGAAATTGATTGTTGTTATACTACTTATCCAAATTATATCGACCAATCGTGTTTTACTTGTTTGTGAAAACTGAACAAAAATTAATTTGGTAAAACATTTAACTATTAGCTAAAAAAAAAACGTAAAAGTTAAATCAAGAACGATTTGATAATAGAAAATATATCAATCGCTCAGACCCATTGTTACATCAATACTTTAGCAATTAATACGTTACAATAAGTGAATATAAACAATTTTCCCAGATACAATAGGCTACCTTTTTTAACCCACTACTATCTATCCTTTAAATGTAGGCTAACTTAAGAACCTCTGCAAGTCATTGTTTTAATATATCCTTTTACCTTATTTCAGAGAACCAGAGTAAGCAAAGTGAAAAAAGAATAACCTTTATCTGTATTAGAACACTCGAATGCAATTTTACAATAGAAAAATAGACGTGAACTCATTCAATTTGGGCTGAATTCAATGTTACACATATGTTTCAGTTAGAACTTTGTTATAATAATTCTATGAGATTATTTAAGATAAGCTGTTATAAAAATGAAAAAATATTGGTGTCAGTTGTATTGTATCAATATAAAACTTTGATATCGTACGTTTTGTCGGTAGAGATACTTAAAGGTTTGTTCCTTATCGCATACTCATAGCCTTGCGCGATTTGGGAATTCCTTGATCACTGGTAGATTCAACTTATCGTGGTACAACGATTCATTTATAATGAACAATCATACACACAGTATAGCGATAACAAACACTATACTATGATTATGACGAAAATAAGGTGATGTTATCCACCAAACACAGAACTTAAGCGTTATCAGTGCAAAAGTATACATAACCATTTACAATTAATATGTTTACATCACAAAATGGATTGTTACAATAATCCTTACGTTCGTCAACAACACTTTAATAACATTCGGTTTGTAAATATTGCCAATTTGTTTTTAATTTATACTGCATATCAATATGAAAATAAGGATAGGTAATGGGATATTATGTCAATATTATGATACATGGTGAATCGCGGTGGCGGTGGCTGGTGGCTCAGTTGGTTTTGGTAGCGCCCCAGACTTCGGGCCCAAGGCAGCGAAGTCGTGGTTTTGGATCCTGGTATCTGCCACTACTTTTTTATCAGTACTACAGTTCACCCTTGTTCAACACCAACTCACCCCTTGCTTTGCTGGGCCTATATGGGCGGGCAAGTGCAAGGTTTAAAGAGCTCGCCAACCTTTTATAAAAAAAATACAACAACCATAACAATTCCTAACAAAATCTGATTTTTATCTATAATGTGAAATTATACTTGTATATGATTTCTACACATTTTTTTATCCTTAAGTCCCTTTTAAAAATTACTTGATACGATACAATTAGTCCAAGGAATGGAAGATTTTTATTTGGATTGGAAATTGACAAAAAGGAAAACTATTCACTCTTCCTGTATTTATATGGATTAATTTGGTCGTGATGTTATTTTAAATCAATGTAGTTTATATTTTTTATAGAAGGTCTACTATTTTACGATTTGGTGCACGGTTCCTTTCCTCCGTAATGAGACTAAATGCAGGTTCAGATATAACTCATTAAAATTTAAACGTTGTTAATATTGACTAAATCAGTTTCCTGCTTAAGTTCACCAATAAATGAGTAAATTTCATTGGATGTAAATTGTTGTAACAAATCATAGGTAGTATTTCAATACACGCGATTCTTTTGCCTAGTATCCATATCCATTGAATTATCGCTAACATGGACTTTTATGTAGATTTAATTTAAATAACTAAAATTGCTTATTAAATATATGCGTTGAGTTAAGATTTAAATCTATAGCTCAAATGCAACCAATACCATAATTAACATTAACGTAGACTATAGTTTTAGCGAATTTCCCTATAGGGAAGTAGCTATTACCGTAGGTGGCACGGTAAGACCTAGGTCCGGGACAGATTTAATTTTTCATTTTGATGTCCCCAGAGGCCAAAAACACCATTTGTTCAAATATACATAGAGTTATATATGTATTCATGTTGAAGCCTTTCGGAATTGGTAATCAATTATAACAGGTTACGTACCTTGACGTCCACAATTCCTCAGTCGAACTTCCGTTGACTAGTTTAGACTACTACGTAGTCATTTTCAAAACGGAACGTTAAAATATTTCATTCGTGTATTTCATCAAATCTTCTTAAACTATGTTAAATGTACCGTGTTCGTGCTGTGTTTGTGTTCAATGTATTTAAGAAGATTTTACGACATTCAATGAATTAAATATTTTAACGTTCCGTTTTGAAAATGACTAGCCTACTTAATAGTCGAAACTAGTCAACGGAAGTTCGACTGATTTGTGGACGTCAAGGTACGTAACCTGTTATAAGTTATATGCGTGTCGGTAAACACGATAACTTGAGTAATTTTTGTCCAATTTTGATGTAATTTGGTTTGAAGGTGTAAGGCGGGATAAACTTGAATGAGTTCGCGAACCAGTATGATCGGACCATGGGATGGAACAGGGTTTTACGGGGGGTTTTATGGGGTAAAAATTGGGTTTTCTCATTTTTGTTCCTCAAAACACAAAATTTCCTAATTTCTCTATAGAACTTTTTAAAGAGAAAAAAATATATTTTGTACATCAAAGTGTTTTTGTACGGTTATTAAACACGGAGAAAATTCACAAAATGGTAAATTCAAAATTCCTATGTTATTTTTATAGAGAATATTGTAACATGTTGTAGTTTGCTTGTTTATGGATATATTTTGATCAAGCTTGTCAAATTATCTATCTTATTTATCATATTATTTATCTATTGATAGTTTACTAAAACACTCATTATTAGTTTCCTTGCAGCAGCAAACCTAGGTACTCGTTAAACCTAATGTAGCACATGTCTAATCAAATCTAGTTTTGTTCTAAATATAGCCTAGTGCTATTATATTTTATAAAAAATAAAATCCTATACAGTATTTTATTTTTTATAAAATATAATTATTAAAACCAAACCGTATTTGCAGTCAAAGTCTTTTACTATTTAAAAGGTAAGACGATGGTTATAGTGGTACGTTTTCTGTGATAGAAGGCAAGGTTGGTAGGTATAGTTTGACCATACCATGTAGTGAGAAGTAGAATAGAGTAGGCCTAGGCAAGACGGTAGGTAGGTATAGTTGGACCATAACATGCAGTGGGAAGTGGAATAGAGTAGGCAAGACGGTAGGTAGATATAGTTGGACTATACCATGCAGTAAGAAGTGGAATAGAGTAGGCAAGACGGGAGGTAGGTGTACTTGACCACACCATCCAGTGAGAAGTAGAATAGAGTAGGCAAGACGGTAGGTAGGTGTAGTTGGACCCACACCATGCAGTGAGAAGTAGAATAGAGTAGGCAAGACGGGAGGTAGGTGTAGTTGACCACACCATCCAGTGAGAAGTAGAATAGAGTAGGCAAGACGGTAGGTAGGTGTAGTTGGACCCACACCATGCAGTGAGAAGTAGAATAGAGTAGGCAAGACGGTAGTTAGGTATAGTTGGACCATACCATGCAGTGAGAAGTAGAACAGAGTAGGCAAGACGGGAGGTAGGTGTAGTTGACCACACCATCCAGTGAGAAGTAGAATAGAGTAGGCAAGACGGTAGGTAGGTGTAGTTGACCACAATATGCAGTGAGAAGTAGAATAGAGTAGGCAAGACGGGAGGTAGTTGTAGTTGACCACACCATCCAGTGAGAAGTAGAATAGAGTAGGCAAGACGGTAGGTAGGTGTAGTTGGACCCACACCATCCAGTGACAAGTAGAATAGAGTAGGCAAGACGGGAGGTAGGTGTAGTTGACCACACCATCCAGTGAGAAGTAGAATAGAGTAGGCAAGACGGTAGGTAGGTGTAGTTGGACCCACACCATGCAGTGAGAAGTAGAATAGAGTAGGCAAGACGGGAGGTAGGTGTAGTTGACCACACCATGCAGTGAGAAGTAGAATAGAGTAGGCAAGACGGTAGGTAGGTGTAGTTGGACCCACACCATGCAGTGAGAAGTAGAATAGAGTAGGCAAGACGGTAGTTAGGTATAGTTGGACAATACCATGCAGTGAGAAGTAGAATAGAGTAGGCAAGACGGTAGGTAGGTGTAGTTGACCACACCATGCAGTGAGAAGTAGAATAGAGTAGGCAAGACGGGAGGTAGTTGTAGTTGACCACACCATCCAGTGAGAAGTAGAATAGAGTAGGCAAGACGGTAGGTAGGTATAGTTGGACCATACCATGCAGTGTGAAGTAGAATAGAGTAGGCAAGACGGTAGGTAGTTGGTAGGTTGTAGTTGGACCACACCATGCAGTGAGAAGTAGAATAGAGTAGGCAAGACGGTAGGTAGATATAGTTGGACCACACCATGCAGTGAGAAGTAGAATAGAGTAGGCAAGACTTAGGTGTGTTTAGTTGGACCACACCATGCAGTGAGAAGTAGAATAGAGTAGGCAAGACGGTAGGAAGGTGTAGTTGGACCACACCATGCAGTGAGAAGTAGAATAGAGTAGGCAAGACGGTAGGTAGGTGTAGTTGGACCACACCATGTAGTGAGAAGTAGAATAGAGTAGGCAAGACAGTAGGTAGGTGTAGTTGGACCACACCATATAGTGAGAAGTAGAATAGAGTAGGCAAGAAGGTAGGTAGGAGTAGTTGGACCACATCATGTAGTGAGAAGTAGAATAGAGTAGGCAAGACGGTAGGTAGGTATAGTTGGACCACATAATGTAGTGAGAAGTAGAATAGAGTTGGCAAG